ATTAGGATGTGGGTTGACAGAAGGAACCTAGAAGGTTGAATGTCCATCCCTTGTCTGAGAAGTCCTTAATAGAGCAAGGTGGTATCTTTTCTCACCACATCTCAAGGTCTAGCACTTGATGGATACACCAGTGATTTTTGCTGACCAACTAAATGACTCACTCCCTTCACTGGAGTACCAAAGCTGGAAGATTTGGGAGATGGGGCAAATGCTCTTCTACTGAAGAAGCCTCTAAAATCTGGAAGCATTAATAGGAAGGGATGTGCCAAACTCCCCCAAAAAGAACATCTGAGATATTCCACACACAAAAAAAAAATAGAAGTCAGCAGAATGTTTCCTATCCTGAGAAACTGAAAAAGGAAGAGGGAAAAACCAGAGAGGTCCTACAGACTGGGCTGAGAGGGAGCAGCTCTAGGGAGCGATGAGACAGACAGAGTTTTTAAAGAAGGCACACCAAAGTAGGATCAGTTCCCTGACCCTTAAAAACAGAAAGAAGATAATGTTCAAGGGTGAGGCTATGCATCACAATTGTGTGGTCTGTAAAAAGCCAAGGGAAACACATTTTGGTACAGGCCCAAGACAGTAAGACAGAAATGAGGGAAGTAGGCAAAGTTCATTTAGAATTTGGAGCCGGTACAGTGGGTGAGGTCTGACTACCACATTGAACATCTGAATTCTTGGTGAAGACTGCTTTGTCTCTTTCCTAGATGGTTCACATTATGGAGGGTAGGATATTTATTTCTTGATTTTCTTTTAGGGGAAATTAATAAGCAAAGGAAGATAGTACATGGGCAAACCTCTCCAGGCTGCTCAGTGAACAACACAGTGAACAACATCTTCCTCTAGTTGTGTTTTATTGGACATATATGTTAAATAGCTTGATTGTGGTGATTATTTCACAATGTGTATGTGCATCAAATCATCCAGTTGTGCACCTTAAATATACACAAAAATTAATATAGAAAAAGTTTTTCCAAAGAGTCAACAAACAAGCCTTTTCCCCTTGCTTTGTTCCATGCTTTGTGGAAAGTAAAGAACCCAAAGAGGAAGCCACCGCACAACTGAGGGTGGTATTCTTGCCAGGTCTATGCCGTCTATCCAGCATTGTGACTGGGTTCTGTGTCATGCGAAACCCAGCAGGCGCCGTCTTTAAAATCCTCCACCCACCCATCAGACTTGAAGTTTAAAAACCAACCTCATTCCTCTGTTTTTAGCCTTCCTCTCCATGGAAGTTTCCAGAAAACCTCAGCAAGGGAACTAAAAACTGTGAATGTCCACAAGGTTTCCAAACAACAGCAATAATAAATCTAATATTAAAAAAAAAAAAACTTGCCCAAACATTTTCAATGTTAAAATGCCAGCGTTTTCCCTAGCTTGAGGCAAAAATGACTTTTTTATTACATGGGGAAAAAGAGCATGAAATCTCACAGGCCTTTGCCAAAGCTGAAACTCTCTGGGTATGCTTGAAGAAGGAGCAGGACTTTGAGTGGGCCATGGAAGGCATGCTGTCTAATTGAAAGTGCATGGATCTCTTTGGCTCCATCTTTCTGATATTCAAGATTTCCCCCGCTTTTTCCTCCTTCATTCCCTGGGGAGAGGCCTCTGGCGTCAGCAGAGGTTGTTTTGTGGGGAACACACAATGAAGAGGGCAGGCTCACCAGGACTGACCAGAAGGACTCTGACAAAGCAAGCCTTGTTTCTTACTGAGCAGTTCTCAGCAACTTCCCATGGATATTTAGATTATAGGACTCCCATATTTAGGAAACAGACGTGTTCCAGCAAAGAGATCTTCGGGTATGGGCTGTGGGTCCAACATTGTCAGACTTCAAACCTTGGATCCAGCATTTGCTAGCTGTGCATCTTAGGTTAACCAGGTCTGTTTAGCATAGCTTCTTTTTTTTAATATTCATTTTTTTTGTTGTAGCTGGACACAATATCCTTATTTTATTTATTTTTATGTGGTACTGAGGATTGAACCCGGGCCTCGCACATGCTAGGCAAGCGCAATACCGCTGAGCCACAATCCCAGCCCCGATAGCTTCTTTATCTGTAATATGGAGCTAAGGCCTAGACTGCAGAGTAGTTGGAAAACTAGAGGAGAGCTATGTGGGGTATTGGCCAGTCAAATACTGCCTTCCTTTTGACTTCAACAATTCATTTAGTGATATTGTCCCATGGGAAGGATCCCCTCTCATGAGTTGAAACATATGATGATAAAGTTATCAAGATTCAGCCTCCCCAAATTTCAGAGGGACTTGAACATTTTGAAATTTCAAGAGTTCGACCAAGAGTCACTATATTCCTGACTTCAGACATTTCCTAAGAACATGTTGTCATACACTCCCTTTCTTTAACAACACAGAAAATACTTGCTTGGCAACCAAATTTTTCAACTTCCATAGAAGATAAGTCAAAAGCTGAAATCAGTCTAGGAAGAACCCATGGGATACTGGTTCAGCCCAAATTGGCCATACAATCTGGAATTTGTTCCCCATCAAGATCAAACAAAATAATCAGACTTTGCTTTTCTTTTTAAGGGGATTATAATTGGTAAAGGCAGAAGTGTCCCGGGAAGCCCCTTCATGCAGTGTACTGACAAACACTTTGGGATAGATTAAAGTTCATGGCCCCACGGTGAGCCCATTGAAGGCAGCCAGGCCTATATAGGTAGAAAAACCATCCACCCTGCGCTTGGTCTCAGAGACTGAATACTGATGCTACAATGTTGATGGGCAATTTCACTCAAAACATTCTTTCTTCACATTTCAAAAATGTGTTTATCTAACTTGTAGGAAAATTAAGATACATTGAATAAGAAATAAATAATAAAGGAAAATGAACACTAATGTTATTGTCCATTTGAAGTATCCAAAGAGATAATTGTTGCTGGCTGCCTTTTTTTTTTAATTGGGGATTTCACCCTGCAGTGCTTTACTGCTGAGCTACATTGCTAGTCATTTTTTAATTTTTTATCTTGAGACAGGGTCTTGCTAAGTTGCTTGGGGCCTTGCTAAGCTGCTGAGGCTGGCCTGAAATTTGCAATCCTCTTGCCTCAGCTTCCTGCACCACCTCACCCAGCACTGCTGCCTACTTTTAAAAATAAAAGCTTTTTTTCCTACAAGGAAATCTGGCTTTCTCAGAGAAACTCTTAGGAATAGGCAATAACTGGGCTGTGAGGCAGTTAACCTTGAGACACATAAAGATTAAAAGCAGAGCTCTTTTAGAGACCAAAGTTTGTATACATTTATACTGAAAGTACAAATTTCTATCTTTTTTTTTTCTTTATTGAGACGGGGCCTTACTATATTGCCCAGACTTCTCTCAAACTCATAGACTCAAGTGATCCTCCTGCCTCTGCCTCCCAAATTGAAGAAGTATATGCATCATATCCCTGGGTGAATTTCTCAAGCTCAATTTTAACATCTGTAAAATGGAAATGACAAGACATCTACTTCCTTAAGTGGCTGTGAAGATGACCTGGGATAATGTGTGCAATAATAGCATATCATGGGCACTCAATATTATAGTTGATATTATAATAAGACCTTAAGGGATCCAGGAAAGGCTTGAGCAACTTGGAGTTTTCACTCCTATGATTGGGCTTTAGATGATCATAAGAATTAGTTGGGCAGGGGGTCAAGTTCTGTGATATCACCCAAGACTAAGAAGTCATCAACAGCCTGACTGAGGCACAGTCCTGAGACAAACATATCAGAGGAAGTCAGCAAAATATAAGTGCTCCTCGCCCCAATTTATATGGCCTGAGTAGCACAGGTGCTCCAGAGCCAGCTCAGCCATATATTTATTACAAAATATTACTTAGGGCAGGAACTAAGGGACCTGAATGGAAACCATTTTATTAGCTACTTAGGAGGGGCAAAATCCAATAATAGTACCATCTTCTATTTGTATTATTGTTACAAAGTATTTTTTGAAAATGTTACCTTATTTAATCCTTTCATCTATAAAATGGAGCCAAGAATGCTATCTTCTTATTCCCTCTGACAAAGGAGATAATAGAGAAGCTGAGAGGTGACTTGCCCATAGGTTGACAGGAAGTAAGACAACTAATTAGTTATTGGTGAAACACGGTGTTCATTAATGTAACACTAGCTATTCCAACAGACACCAAAATCTCAGCAACTTAACACATAGGTATTTATTGTTTGGTTCTAGAATTATCCAATGCAGGAATACCTATTCATTAAGGTGACTCAGAGATCTGAGTGCCTGGCATCTTGTGGCCCCATCTATATGTATCTATATGTAGTTTGTACCTATGAAAGGAAAAAAATGGACACACAGGCATGTTTCTGAGCATCAGACTTAGAAGCAATAGATCCATCATTTCTTCCTCACATGCTGCTGGCTAGAACTCGGTGACATGGCTACATGTAACTGTGAGAGAGCCTCAAAAATGAAGTCTAACTGCTTTCCCAAGAAGAGGAGCACACAAGTGTGGAAATAGACACCGGCCCACCTCTGCTATAGCCAGGAACCAAGTCCAGTATATTATTATTTCTATTATACTATGCCCACACTATAATAGATTTTTTAAAAATATTGAATAAGTAATTTTATTTCCATGATCTATTTACACTATACAAACACTGATGAAAAGCACCCTACAAGTTCACAGTACATTACAATATATCCACTTTAAAAATATATTCCTTTATAAAAGGTTCATAGAACATTTCCATGTCAATATGTGACAAAACTCTCAAAGCATGTCATCAATTATGTGATATCAAGAATGCTTCCAAGTACTGTTAATTTCACAATCACAGATCACCATTTGAATTTTAAATACATACAAGTTTTAAATAAAAAAATGAATTCTACAGTGGAAAGTTCTTGAAGCAATACTCATTAGTTCATTAACATATGAACCTTCACAGAGATGTCTTATCATAATAACCCACAACATCAAATTAATCTGCCCAAAGACACATTTCAACAAGCTTAGTAGTCCAAAAATTCTTGTCACTTGTGGTTGTTTACTTTTTCTTCTTTGCTTGTTCTCCTGGTTCTAGTTTGCGCTTTTTTGAAGTAGGCTCATCTTCTTCATCATCTGATTCATCATCTGATTCATCATCTGATTCTAATGCCTCCTCCCCTTCTGGTAGAAGCCTAGCTTTCTTAGCATTCTGTGGGGCATCATCACCATGGTCCTCATATATTTTCAACCCTTCCATTGCCATATCCAGCTCTGGAGGCAGAGGTTTCTTCTCAGTAGTGTAGGTCTCTGGAGGTGGCACATAGTTTGACTTCCATATTTTGAATTCCTTTGGAGGCTCCTCAGGTGCTTTGACAACGTGCCTCTCCCAGTCTATCTGCTTGTTGAACGGATTATAGAGAAAGGGTGGGCAGGTCACGCTCCGGAACAGCTCATCCGGTTCGGGCAGTTGATTCTCTGCCTTGTTCCCACAGCCGCCCACCGACTTGGCCAGATCCGGGTCCTTGCCCACCGACTTGGCCAGATCCGGGTCCTTGCCCACCGACTTGGCCAGATCCGGGTCCTTGCCCACCGACTTGGCCAGATCCGGGTCCTTCTGACTTGTTTCCTCCGGCTTGCTGTTATCCTCGCTGGAGGAGTCCGAGCTGCTGCTCCTGTACTCTGCAAAATAGCTCGGAGGATCATTCTTCTCGGCTGCCATGGTGGCTGTGCACCTATAATGAATTTTTTTAAGGGAGAGAGAGAGAATTTTTTTTTTTTTTTTTTAGATGGACTCAACACAACGCCTTTATTTTTATGGGGTGCTGAGAATCGAACCAGGTCCACCCGTGCTAGGCGAGTGCTCTACCACTGAGCCACAATCCCAGCCTCCTATAATGGATTTTTGATGAATTGACAGAGCTACATGACTCACTCGAGGCCTGAAGAACATTTGTACAGACCTTAACATGGAAAAGAATAGAGGGATATTGAAAGTTGGGAGAATGCACATTGAAAACATCAATGACAAGTTGAGGCCATGGTAATTGCATGTAGCAAAGATGAAAGATCTTAGCAATGATGAAATTCATGTAGAACCTTAGCTCCTGGGAAAGTTCAAGGACAAAGTTATATATAGTGTTAGCAACATTAGGCCAAAAGACTAAAGCCAAAGTCACTGAATGACCAAGGGGAATCTCTCTGCCTTATCACCACTCAAACTAGGACAAAATGTGAAGTGTTGCCATTCACCAAAAGGAAAATGTGGACTCAGAAGCCACAGACCAAATACCAGGTTCTGATAAGAGTTCCCTGAGGTCAAGGACTAGGTCTGTAATCCCTCAAACCCCAATATTCACCATAGAGCCTGACATAGCATAAATTTTTAAGAACATTTTTGTGGAAGGGAGGGAGGGAGGGAGGAGGTGTAGATACACATTTAAGTTTATTTTGTATCCACATCCCATCTTATGAGGCTCAGCACTCTACATTCAAATCAGTAAAAGCTCTGGAATTCTTACTAGTGTCAGTGAGTAGGTACCATTCTTGTCCATTTAATGAATAATTGAGAATTAGCAGCGATCGGCATCAATGGTATCGTATCACAAAATGAACTTTTCATGTTTTGATAAGTGCAGTTTAATATGAATTATTTATTATATTTTGCAGTGTATTTTGTAAAAGTAATGAAGATTTAGTAACATGAGTCACTGCCAGCTCTTTGCGGGTAAATGCCATTCCATGTCTGTACGCTCTCTTAATCACAGACTTTCACATTTTTACTGAGGGACAGAGCAGTGTGGTGAGGCTAAAGACAAATGCTGTCGCACAAAAGCTTCATGGACAGACTGGCAATGTCAGAAAGGAGTGAACCACCAGGGTTACTTTCTGTGTCAACTTTTCCACATCAGCTTCCTAGGAAGTGACTTTCATAATCTGTATTACTAAAGGTCTAGAGTAAAAACTCCACTAATGTGAGTCTCCTTAGAATCTTCTCATTATATTTTATTTCAGGAAATTTTTTATAATGACTGCCTGTTCATATTGAAAATCATATTCTAGCTGGGCACAGTGGCTCACACTTGTAATCCCAATGGCTCGGGAAGGCTGAGGCAAGAGGATTGCAAGTTCAAAGCCAGCCTCACCAACTTAGCAAAGCCCTAAGCAACTTAGCAAGACCTTGCCTCAAATGAAAAATAAAAAAAGCATTGGAGATGTGGCTCAGTGGTTAAAATAGAAGGGGGAAAATCACACTATAAATTAACAAAAGTAAGATTTAAAATCCAAGTAAAGTTCTGGCCCCAAAATACATAGCTGGATTCGATTGTGAGGAAGCATCAGAAAAACCTGACTAAAGGAATAGTCTATGAAACAAGTCTGACGATGATCCTCAAAATAAGTCAAAGTCATGAAAGACCAAGATAGCCTGAAGAACTACTCCAGATTAAAGGAGACTAAAGACATTAGAACTGAATGAAGTCCTTGATCCTAGGTTAGAAGATGGAGACCATTTTTTTAACTGCTCTGAAATATGGAATTGAAACAATCAAGAAAATTTGGACTCTATACTAGCAAATGGTGGTCTAGCAATGCTGTTTCTGGAACTGGATAATTGCACTGTAGCTTGGTAAAACAACATCATTACACACTGAAATATTTAGCAGTAGATGGTCATAATGTCTGCAAGTTAGCCTTAAATTGTTCTGTAAATAACAATAATGCATAACAATATGTATACATACAGGGAAAGGTTTGGTAGTCTGTTGGAATATTTACTTTTATCTTAACCAGTACCCTCTTTCATCAATTACTTTGACTTATGATTGTCTTATCTTTTGGAAAATGTTAATAAGTAAATCTAGGTGAAAATTTATGGAAGTTCATTATATTATTTTGCCATTTTTCTTGTAAGTTTGAACATTTTATTTTCAAAAAATTATAAAGATTAAAAAAGACCCACACTGACTGATAAGGACCATACCCTTGCTCAGTATCAGCCTGCATTAAGGAGAAAACATCCCTAAGATACAATATTCACCTTCAGATCTTCCTAAATCCTCAAATTGATTAATATCCTTGGAACACAGCATCCCTCATCAAAGGAGAACATGACTTCCTGAGCAAGAACATATATGTGATAAGCAGAAAAAAAAATCAAGCCACCTTGACATGTGGATGCCAGCAGTTGGCCAGAACTTCCCTTAGTAAGAGGCTTGCCGCAGTGCTTTAAGTTCATGCCCCACCAAAAATAGAAATGACTGCCAGGGTCACTCATGAAGAGCTAGAATGGCAGTTGTTGAATCTTCAGATGCCAAGAATCCACCTTATTTGGAAATCAGCAGGGGTTCCTTTTTGAGCTCCAGATATTCGGTGTAAGAGCGTTTTGTTTGGGAAGTTGTGTGGGTGATTTGGGAGTCTCAATGAGCTTTTCTGGTGAAGGGATTGGAATATTTGTGGGGGAGATGGTAAAGGGAGTGAAGGAATAGTTGGGGATTGATAGCTCAAGAGAAAAACTAAATGGAGTTCAGCTACAGTTCAACTCGGCCTCCTCTTCCTGCGTGTGGTATAGCAGCAGTTATTTTCCCTATAGAAAGGGACTGTTATATGCACAGGGAACAAAGATGGAATTTATTGCACTGGGTTATCCACTCTTCATAAGTTATTGTAGCTAGATAAAAAGAACACGGTGTTTCTGAGCCATCTGTTTAGAGATAGAAATAGCTCTGTAGCAGGCAGTCTTTATAATGGTGTTTATTGCAATGGAGCTTTTTTTATCGTTGGTCGGAGGTCAGGTGATTTACCAGGTTTCCTATTGAATTTTGGATGTCTCCTTTCATAAGTCATTTTTTTCTCAAGAGATTGAACAACTGGGTTGTGTTTACTAGATGACATGTGCCTAGCAAGTTGAAAAAAAAAATGTATTAATTCGAGGAAATAGTCATGCTGTTTTTTCCAGAACCCATTATATTTTGTTTTGCCCTGCACTGTTTAGCTTTCAGCCCTTAAAATGACATTTAGTTCATACCCTCCCAACCCTACCACCATCCAAACCCACAGACTACCTTCACTAGGATGTTTAAAATTCTCCAAACACACCAGACGCTGTGACTAGGCCCATGTTATTTCCTATTTCCAATTTCTGGAAAAGGTCTCCCTGCCATCTCTACGTAGTAAACTCCTCTACATCCTTCAAAACCAAACTTAAACATCACTTCTTCTGGGGCATCTTCTTAGATTCTTGCTCCCTCCTTATCTCCAGATACAATGAATCATTTTCTATTCTGGCCTCTGAAAGTACTTTATTCAACCCTCAGTCAAAGTCATTGACACAGTCTTAGAATTAACTTCCCAACTAGATTTTTAATGACTTAGGGACAGAGACCCTATTTTATACATCATTGCATTCTCTGCACCCAGGACAATTGGTGCTACTTAGTAATTATTCAAAAATATGTATCAAAGGAATACCTCAATTGGCAAATTAATCAGTGGATGGAAAGTTTGCGACTATGGGCTCTCTGTGACCTATAAGCTAAACTCTAAAAACACATTCCACAACAGAATAACAGCCTCTGTTTACTAAGTGCCTACATTCTGCTGGCATGGTGCATACATTTTAGCTCACAAAGCTACTACATAAGTATCATTACGTGCATTTAAAAAATGAATAAACCAAGTTATGTATGAATCCCTTGTGGCTGAGATCCTCTCCTTTGTGTCCTATTGGAGAATATACTTCAACACATTTTGGGCAAGATGGACAGAATCAGGAGGAAATCTGGCCTGCAGCCACTCTCAGACGGTTCCTATGGCATCCTCTCTGGCATCCTCCTGCTAATCAGTGGCCACTATTGGCTACTGAAAGAAGCTTTGACAAGGATAACAATGACACAGGTAACAATGCTTCCTCCTGGTATCAGTAGCTTTTGTTGTCATGATACCTCCCCCCACACACACTATATTCTGAGCCCCTGAGTTGGCCAGATTTGGCATCAACTTTGTTAGAACATGCTACAGGATATTCAGGAAGGGCTGGCTATCAGAACTCAGGGCTCAGCTGTGATGCAAACTCTGTAGTGATTCAGTACAAGTGCTAGGAGATGGTTTGTGCTTTTCAGGAATACAGCCTTTCCTGCTGAGCCTATCAGGACCATGTTTCAAACCTCTAGGAAACATGTTGGCTCCCATTCATTACTCCCTTCTCCATTATCCCTAATGCCATTAGCTCAATGTGCCATCCCACTAATGATCTACTGCTACTTGGTAGCAAAATTCATGTTTATTCAACATGTACCATCTATATTCCTCATCCAAGAAAGAGGTAGAGTCCTTCTTAGTGGCATCATTTGTTAATAAAATTCACACAAATGAAAATTGCTTAGAATTTGCCAAATCACTTGGCAATGAGGGTATTCAGAAAATAATGGAATACATAGAAAACAACAGAAATATCCATCTTCTAAAATACACGCATATCTTAACAGCTAAATAAATCCAAACTTAGCTTGATTTTTTTCCACAGAAGGCTAATATTTTTTAAAAGGAAAGGGAAAATGTAATTCATAGAAAACAAATCAAGCATTTATCCATTTTAACCAATACACTCTTCATCAAGCTCAGCAGTTCATAGAATTGTTCCTTAATCCTCAGGTGAAAAAGGTAAAAGATGCAGGAGTGAGTTAACCTCCTGGAATTCCCAGCCCACTGCCAGTTTGGTCTCTC